CCCCAAAACCCCAAAACCCCTAAGCAATAAAAATTTAGTTGAAAAATATTAAGATAGTTATTAAATAAATAATATTAATTAATCAAATGTCTTGTCTATTATTTCCTACGATTTTTCTTTTTCTCTTATACTAAAGCACCATTGTCTTTGAATTGTTTTACCATTTTGTTTTTCTGATATACTCCAATGAATGTGAATCAGCCACAGGGAAATTCTTACAAAGTATCTCGATATTGTCTATAGCCTCTTGAATAAGCTTGTTTATATGCTTCTTTACTGTTAAAATTGTCTTGTTTTTCTATGAAATCTTTAACTTTTTGGGTAATTCAGGCATTCTAAGATTCACATCTTCGTCATTTAATGGCACCAATTTAAACTCAATATCAACTATATTTACATTTTGCTTGCCAGAGCTATTTTGGCTTAAAGTATTCTCGGTGGTAGTTGTGTTATTTACTGATTAAGTTTATTTTTAAATGCTGACTGGGGGTTTATAGGTGCCTTTCTGAATTCTTTTTTCATTGAGTCTTTTTAGTAATATTGATTTCAACTTGTCATCTCTTTCTTTAAAATCTGGGATTAGGGAATCAACAATGTTTTAAAGGATTTAATCTCTAACAACATACTCGAGTGGCTTTCCCCCTAATTCTGAATGGCATGATGGGCATTTGTATCTAGTTGCATTTTCAGTGAAATACTTATAAATGCAACCTTTACAATCTATAAGAGTTTTTAAAAGTATAATAGTTACAAGTGCACATGCATTCATTAATGGTATGAGCATCTCTGTAAACTCCTTTGCACAACCAGCATGTTAAATATTGCATCATATCCGCTTTTGTTGGCTCTCCTTTCATCTATCAAATATGTTAGCTTTATTATAACTTACTCCAATTATGTATTGCATCAAAGGTAAACTCTCAATTGCACTTTCAAGCATCATTTAATATTACTTAACCAATTAATATTTAATTTGAGTTTGCATCTCCAGTTTAAGAGCATATAATTGTTTAACTTTAAATATTTAAACCTTAATATTCGAGTTTTAATAATAATAATTATTGATGCGCTTATTTAAATTAATAGTTAACTATTAGTTATAATAATCAAGATAAATTCATGGGCTGGTTTAATTCTGGGTTCATGTGTGCATTATTTTGATCCATCATCAATTATTGTTGCAATTACTGCAGCTTGAGATCATCAGTTTGTAGTAAATTAGTAGGGTTAAGTCCAAAATTCTAACCAAGGCTTAGGCCAGTGTTTAATTTCAAGCAAGGCATCGAAGCTTGCATGAGCAATTGATTGCATATTAATTGGTTTTACTGATAAACTTGCAAAATCTTTGAAAGATCAGTTTAAGCTAATGAAGGTTAAGGAACTTATAAAGCACTGAGTTATGGTAGCATAGGATTCAATATACTATTTAGGTTTAAACTTCCTAATTATCCTATTTATGGAAGGCCACCTAGATTTTGTGCCAAACTATGATTTAAGCCTCCCAAAAGCTAATTTTAAGTCAAAAGATTTAAACCATTAGGCAATTAATGAATTGGATTTATTGGATTTTATATCGGTAGATTTACCTAGGGTAATTGAGGGACTCCTTTTTATTTCTTTTCTTTTTTCTGGATAGGAACGATAGATGGTGAAATTACCTGATTCAATTGATTTTAGATTGGTTATCCATTGACAGATAATCCCATTGCAGCCAGCCGCTTTTTCTTTTGATAGTAAGATTCAGATTGAGTTTTGGCAACTTTTTATTCATTGTTTATTCTATCAGTCATATTGATAAACATCTGTTTGTAAGCTAAAGATAACTTTTTCCAGCCAAGCTCAATAGTTTTTACTAAATCTGCTACAGGATATTAAGGATATTGGGTTAATATTGCTTGTTTCATTTACTTTGAAAACATTACTCTTGCATCTAGAGATCTTTTAGCTTCTTTACAGGTTCTTTCAGATACTTTTACTTAAGTATTACTATTGATATTAAGTGGTTGAACTAGTTAAGGAAAAGAATTTAGCTGAGATATTGAAACACCTTTTGCCTACTAAATAGGCTAAGCATTTACTTAGTTTAAAGAAGTTCCATTTAATTAGGGTTGATTATTAACGCCATTATTTATAATCTGAGGTAGCTTGGTAGCATTTTACTATTGCTATTCTTATTATTAAGATATCTGCTGCTTGAATAAAATAGATTTAGCAATGTAAGGTTACTTTGCTTCTTGATTCATAGAATTCCACTGATTGCTCATAATTTGAATATAGTAATCCTCAGAATGATCTGGATATACAGTTTTAGCTTTTTCAATAAATTCCTCATAAAAGAGACGAGTTGGACTACTGGGAGACATATCATACTCAACTTACTTATTTTAAGTGCTCTCATTAGTAGATTATAATTCATTTGCAGAGTTCTATTGTATGCAGCTTTAAGATAAGCACTCATTAAGTTAGTTTAATGTCTGTGCTATCTAATTCCTCTAGTCTTAATCCATACTACTCCATTCCTTAGCAATAATTTAAGCTAGCTCATTTGAAGTTATGTTTGAATTGGCTTGTAGTATTTATGGCTTTCTAAATTAAACATATCGCATGTATATTTAAGTATCCATGGTTATTTTCAGATATTGACTCTTTAGAGTGGTTCTACTGAAACAGTATAATTGCCAATTTTTATTAATCAGTCAACTAGTCTTATATATCTTAATCATCTTAATTCCAATGAGATTATGTTTATTAGTAGATATATTCACCTGATAAATTTTCATTGGGAAGCCTAAAATATTATATTTCCATTATTATAGTTACCTCTGCCTAATGTGTCTTCTCTCATGGTCTCGCATATTACCAAGCGAGTTGAACTTTTTGTGGCATGTCTAACATTGATAGGGTTATCTCTTATCATGAATTCTTAGATGTACCAGTAAATTGCTTCTTTCTGAGAATTTTTTTTGGCAAATCTTACACTAGTGGCGCTTAATTTTTAAATGAATGGAAATCAAATGATTTTTGACATTTTCTCTCCTTGTCAAAGACTTCTTGCATATTGGACATTTATAACTTAGCTTTCCTTATTTATTTCGCTCTTGAATTTACTCTGTATCGTTTAATTTTAGTAGTTAATATATATCAGATTAGGAGTTATCCGATTGAAGAGGATACTATAACGATTCACTCAATAATTGATTTAAGCCATCCTTATGTTGTACTTCATGATTTTCTAACATTTCACTGGCATCGTTATCTTAAGCAGAATCGTAATCGAAATTTTCTTACACTTCATCATTTTCTAAATCTGCAATTTATTTTTTATCGTAGTCCTAGTTTTGAAATTTAATATTATGGTTCTGGCCCACTATCTATTCTATTTATTTACTTTTGAAAATACTAGATGGGACGCCGATAGAATCCTAATTACAAATATTCTATTAAAAATGAGCATTAGATAAAAATATTACCTAAAATCTGTTAGCAGAAATAAATGGTATGGTGGACAACTGATTATTTTAAAATAGGCTATGAACTGCAGGTATGATACCTTAAGTATTATTATAAACCAGTCCTCTTGTTTAAGGAAGTTGATTAGAGGGAGGAGTGAAGTACTAGTTTATCCCATGGCCCTAGTATTGGGCCTGACTGACCTAAGTAAATGGAAGCATTATCATCTGTTGCTATTATAGTGGAGCTTAGTTTACGGTAGGGCTCTGAAAGTAAGCACTACGTGCTATCATTTGTTAAAACTACATGTATAGTATATCTCACTCAATAAAATACTTGCCTTAAATATTAATATTTATAATCTTAAATTAGTTTGGCAAGAAATTTATTCAGATGATATGTTACTATAGAATTAAAACATCTAAAATAACAAGAGAACATAGAATAAATCCACAATTAATCAATAAGCACAATTTTAAAATAGAAGATTTCTTTTTTATCGATTCTGCATCACCTCAAACTATTCCCAACGCATGGGGTTTTGGGGTTTTGGGGTTTTGGGG